GCGATCCCTTCATCCCTGCCACAGGCAGCTGAGGCTGAAGATAACGGACGAAGAAGCGCAGGGAAGTAGAAAAAGGCTGTCGCAGCCTTCTTTCGACAGGAGGAGGAACAGGAGACGCCGACTGAGCCGCCGGTCACCAGGGACGCCGGTGGACCTCCCGGCTGTTGACACCGCCAGCGGCTTCAGCCTCGCCCCGGAGGCGATGGAGAACGCGGACGGCCCGGCGGAGACCTTCACCCCTGAAGAGCGGCGCGTGCGGTAGTAGACCAAGAGAACACCACCTCCTGCCGGCACAAGGCTGGCAGGGCGTCCAGTCCGGGGCGAACTGCTGAAACGCTGGAAATCGAAGCCTCCCCAGTCCCGCCTGGCTGCTGTGGCCCGGAGGGTGCCTGAAACGCCAGCTAGCAGTGTCAAGACTGAACTCCGCATTCCGAGGCCGGTCGGCTGGCAGGGAAACGCCGCACCGGCCTCCAGGCGAGTAAGGCTGGTAACCTGTTGCTGGCGGGGATAACATGGACACCCCAGCTCTGATCGTCGACCACGTTGCCGTCGTCGAGCTGAGTTATAATCAACCATAGCGAGCATCGATCTCAATGTATATTGTCTTCACGACAGGCTGTGACACACATAACGTACCTAGTTACGGTTCGTTGCCGCTCACCACCCAACTAAGATTTCGTCGTCAAACTGAAGGGCAGTCCAGCTTAGCGGGCATCGATGTAAGTTGTGAACAGTGGATGTCTTCACGAAAGCCGGTGATACACATTACTTACCCAGAATCGTTTTCTTTCGGGTTATTTGATTTAAGCTGCGTAATGCAGCGACGCGAGTGGTGACTGGATGGTTGTTGCTTGAAGGTATATAGAAAGAAGCTGACAGACAGAATTCTTCAGATATGGAGAGAAAATATAAATTTTTACACAACCTGATCTTTGGGGACTTTTTGGACAGACGGCTGGTCCATCCTTGGACTTTGGCCCCTCTCTGGGTCTCGATACCTTGGACTGAAGCACTGATTCATCACGGCGCCGACCGCTGCCGCCCGCTGACTCAGTGTAACGACGGTGTTGACGCGGCCAAATCCTGGCGCAGATAGTCGCCAGCACGATAGGGGAGCGGAGCACGCGGCAGCCCGGTCTGACGCGGCCCCGCACCGTCAGCACGGCGTGATCCGCCGGTCGGGCTCCAGAGCTCAAACCCGTATAACTGAGTCAGGCTAGTGTGAGCATATCCCACAATGTTCAGCTTGAATCTTGCATTGTGGCCTCCATTCAATCAAGGTTTTTTCCGCATCAGTCGTCTCCCTCGCCACCTTCCTGAAAGATGCGCTATTCCATCTCGGTCACAACGTTTCATTTAGTGCCACAGACACCAACGTCAATACCGCTAGCAATGGTGAGAGTGCACAACAGCCATCTCTTTTTGTCTGGCATCATCCAAAACCCGGCCGTCGGTAGAGGACGGTTCGAGCCGGATCGAGCCAGTTCTAACCGGTTTCCAGCCGACGGTCCAGGCCAAACCACGAGACCGACCTGGTGCAGGGCGGGGCCCATCACTGAGACCAGGAAGCCCTGGTAGACGTACTCTTGCAGCTGGGTCGCGATGAGCGGATGGCACCTCTGCCGGACACAAAAGACCGTGACTCACACTAGTTGCCCATAGCCCGCGGCACAGCTCAACCAATTGAGGTTGCTGCCGCTCTCGCACGTGACCATACCGCGTTTGAAAACCGCATCAGGGATGTTCACACGAAGTTGAAACACGAGAGCGGTTGTTCATGCTTAACTAGTGCCAACTGAGTGACAGATTCGTAGTAAAACCATTTGCACCAACACACTTTGGTCACATCCATTTTCTTTGCCAACATGAGGTGAAGTGAAGCAATCAACCCAGGAACTTTCTCATCAGTGTCCTCCACGATTACTCCTCAGAGGAGTCCACGCCCTTTTTGGGCCAGCAATGTCGACTCATCATCATAGCTCAGCAGCCCGCGGCTGCTTTGCCATTCCGGCAGCCAACGGGCTCTTAACACTACAGCAGCCTTCCACGGCTGCGGCAGCACACATCGCCGGGCAGGCCTACCTGGAGGACGGCGTCGCAGAACTGGAGCGAGCCGACAAAGGCGTCCAGCTCGGACGGCGGCGGTGGCGACGGCGGCGGTGGCGACGGCGGCGGCGGCGCCGTCCGGGGCAGCGCAGAGTACAGCCCACTCAGCCCCGTGGCGAGCACCTGAACGGTAGCGGGGCCGACCGCCGGTCAGCACGCGCCAGCCGCCGTCGCCGCGACCTTGTGGTCCGGCCGCTCAGGTGTCGCAAATGCGGGGGTTGTTGCAGTTACAGTCAGAGCTGCAGTCTAGGCTGTGGAATCGTTCGCGTTTTCTATGTGTGATGCATACAAAACACTGCTGTCGGGTATGGTACACAATCACTGCTTTCTGCAGATCGTGTTCAGCGTCCCGAGACGGCCTGTACGAGAGTTCTTCGAGTAGGACGCTCGGGTCGCTCGTGAGAGACAAGGTTACTCAACAAGAAAAATAAGAAAACAACAAAAATGTAGACACCAGTATCGGACAACAACAATGGGACTGACCGGGCAGAAGGTGGAGTGCTGGGACGATATACTGCGCCAGCTGGTCACTATCGCTCGACAGGCGCATGCACAGCAGCAGGGCCTCGCGTTGCAATCTCGCCAACCACGCCATCGGCGTGCACGAAGTCCACCAGCAGTGAGAAGATGACAAAGCTGGTGCCGGGTGCCGTCCGGCTGCAGGTCCAGGAAGAGGTCGAGCAGCTCGGGCTGCCGGTGCAGCACAGTGCACAGTGTTGACAGCAGCTGCAGCAGCTGGCGGTCCAGCTCGGCCAAGCGCGCGCGCCGGCAGGTGAGCAACAGCTCGGTGAGTGGACGCAGTACGGCCCGCTGCACCAGCAGCACAGCGCCGCCCTCGCGCAGCAGCTGCTCGTGCAGGCGCAGCAGCTCGGTACGCAGCAGCGGCTCGAAGGCGCCGCAGCGGCGGCTCCAGGCCAGCAGGCGCTCGGGCACACGCTCCTCCAGGAACAGGTCGAGCAGGCGGGGCTGGGACTCGTCACCGACCGGCGTGGCCGGCGACCGCAGCTCCCAGCAGAGCAGAGACGCAACTTGGTCCACGTGGTTCAGCACGCAGTTCACGTCTTCCATGGCGACAGCATCACCTTCCTGCAATCAGGATCTGATCAGAGTGCATTCCAAGGAAGATTGGAGGCAGGGATAGTAGTGATGAGTGGATAAAACGGTTAGTTATACAGTTCAGAAGGTGCTTGACTAAGATCATTAACCACAGAACGCTGAGAACTTAGGATGCGACTAGCGGTAAAAAAAAATGTTTTGCTCAGTACAGCAGAAGTAAACCCACTGTGATATGTAATATACAGATGCCAATCCACGACACGCACATGTGAACCATACCTCCAAAGACTGTATCTTGGCCCAGGCTATCTTCCAGTGAACCTGGAAGCTCTCCCTGTACACTACAACATCCTCTTCTGCTTTGACTGGCAGAATGGTACGGAACCGGGCCACCAGCGACCCCTTCAAAGGGGAGTTTTTTGATAACCAGCTGGTCATGTTAGCCCTGCCTTCTCTTCCTTGTCATGTTCGAATGGCAGCTGGCAGTCCTGCACATACGTGATGAAGGAAATATGTCAAAATCCGAGACGCGGCACCCACGTACAAACAACATGCCATTGCCAATCAATAGAACTGGCACGTCAGTGCAATAATACACCTTGGGACTACTTGTTTGTGGAAACAGGAGCATGCTGCGTACTGAAGATACTGAGTCAAGCAGCAAAACAACATTACGATTCATATTCAATGGTAACGAAGAAAGAAAAAGGAAATGGCAAGTAGATATTGGGTAGAATTTGCAATCAAAATTCTGATAAAAACCCAATGTAATATATTGCAAGATGCATCTTATAGTACTTCTTTTTAGAGGTATCGTCCAAACCGAATACACTGGACACATTTCTGGGACCGGCGACCACGCTAACAGCGCTTGTTGCGAGCTCCCCGACCCCCCGCTCAATCCGATCCGATCGCGCAACGCCTGGCCAACGGTAGAATTTCCCAGCGAACATTTAACGTGCCGCAATGGTCGCCACGCTTCATTCTACCTTCTGACGTCATCTGACCTTTAGAGCGGGTGCTGCCACCGACCACAGGTTATCCTAGTCAGCGGCGCATGGCGCGTCTCTACAGGGATTCGAGTTTCGAACCCACCCCGCCACGAGCAGGTAAATCAGAAGACTGGTGCTCGAACGACTGGCCTTCCTGGACTCATGAAACGAAACAAAAGATGGAGAGGCCGTGACATTCGTAAAGCATGAAATGGGAAATTTCGCACTAAAAAATAAATTTTAAGAAATAGATGGATAGTTCCTGATCCCCAAAGGACAGCATCCCACGCTAGATTTGGACCAAAACAGAGAGCCCATTTCATGCAAAAGTAACCAACCAGCTTCGCAATTTTATACATCACAATCTCATTCATCGCAGACTAGCTGGCATCAAACGGCCCAACATCTCAAGGTCAACCTTTACAAATAATATTTCGATCAAAAAGGGAAAACTGCATTATATTCCAAACCAGCCAATCTACGATTTTCCCGTTTGAGGATTTTCTTCAGCGCGTAAATCAGCGTCCGGCAAAACGCCTTGAGCTCTCAAGGTCAACTTTTAAGTAACCTTTACGACGAAGGACGGGAAATCCATTTTGCCCAAATATTGCTGGTTGAATGAGAACCTATTATCTTCTTCAGCGCATACTCACGTCCATCCAATAGCCTCATCCTCAACGCCGATCGTTCAGGTTACCGCTCAGCTTAAATGACAAAGAACTCCACTTAACCTGAGGGTTATCGGCTGAAAGCGTATTTTTAAGCATCGGACTCTTACTGAGCGCATAAAGCACGCGTGCACCTTAAACACTCATGACCTTTCGGCTGACGCGATGTTTTGGGTTGACTGATGGCAACCTGAAATAGACTGGTAAGGTCTGGTAGAAATGGAGGTCCCGTCATTTTTCTCTGCATGCTGTGCTGAAGGGGTAAGTCCTTATGCTTAAAGTTCGAAATCGACCGCCAGTGTTTCACTGCAGTGGGGCTTCCTGTTATTTGAAGCCAAATGTGGTTTTCAGTTTTGATCCTAAGGGTCAGGTTCAGTGTTACCTTGCAGTAACAAACAATCTAAGGCATTCACATGAAATCACAGGCTTTCAGGTTTAACCTGCACCACACCTTTTGAATGAATGGGTTTCTGGAATGAGAGCTCAAGCTAAGCAGAGCTTATGTGAGTCCTCACACCTTCCATCTGATGATGCAATTCTAAGTCAACAGCAGAATTTTGTGGCTAAAGTTTACGTGCTGCAATGCTCGGCTGAGTCCGTCCCGCCCTTCTACGTCCCCCGATCTTAAGCCAGCTGCTGCTGGCGGCCGCAGACCATACCGGTCAGGGCGGATAGCCAGCCACTTAACAACTCAAGCTCATCCCACCAAGGAATGGCTGGATCGGATTTCAGGCGTTTTAACCAGCTGAGCCATTGGGACAAAGTTTGAAGATTGACAAAATATTTCATTCTACAGCCAGGTTGCACAGTACATGTCCTGGTACAATAGAGCATGCAAAGTTGTCTGTAAACAGATATTATTCTACCCTAACATAGATAATGCATATAAGATTTAGTATGGGAACTCATCAACACTGTTGCCCTCCCCTCATCATACCCACATCTGTACTCCAGGGTTGCAGTCAGTTCTTCTGCCACTGAGGTGCCCTATGTGCTACTGTGAATGGCAAGGGCACAATATTAACTGCATTACTGGTAATGATTTTGGAGGAAATAGCAAATGACTATATCAAAAGAAGTAAAAAATTTAAAAAACAAGCAAATATTTTACTCCCCTATGCATATGTGTGGGCCCCTTTGGATCACTGTGTCCGGGCTTGTTTACCAAGATAGTTTTGGCTGTAAGAGGTAGTGCAAAAAAGAAAGGAATGGAAAAGGAAAAGGTAAAGAGGGTTATCCTCATAGTTGCTCTCAAATGGCATCACTTTATCTCAATTAAGCAAACAAATTGTGCACTGTATTTCATCAACCAGGACCTGCATAACTGCAGTCAGGTTACTGATCAATTTGAAAGTTATGGTGCATCTTTTGGGCAAGTGCCATCCCTTACTGGGGTTTACCTTCAGATTTGATGGTGCTCACATAACATCTATTTTGGTGGGTTTGGAAAGCAGAGATAATACCATCAAAGTGCTTCAAAACTATATTTAGTATAATACATGCTGAAGAACTTAGTGCTTTACTGGGCAACAATACAGCAACCATAGGGAGAACCATGGTGCCACATTGTCACATTTAAGCTTGCGCTTCCATCCAAACTGTTTTACACCACCCAGGTTAAGAGATTAGATACATTAGATAGATTAAAATATGCTGCTTGAGACTATGTACAATGTGAACATAACTGTTTTGTTTTAAGGGGCATTCAGTAACATTCAATGTTTGAGGCACAAGGCCAAGGGTCTTAAGCCCTGACCAGAGTTAAATTTCTAGGCAGATTAAGCCCACTTGATCTCCATGAAGAACAATACTGTACTTTTCAACTTGCACATTTTATAGCAAACTGTTGATGTCCAAACCCCCCCCCCCTCCACACACACACACATATATATGTATGTATATATATATATATATATATATATATATATATATATATATATACATATATAACAAATTATGCCCTATGAAAGCAATATGGTGACTTGAGTCTCTACCCACATAATCTAGCAAAATTGTTGATGGGGGGCAGACCAACACTGAAGGTCCAGCCAATATTCAGGGGATGGAACTCTCCAGGAAAGTTTATCAACACCACCACTCCGCCCACATTCTGCCATGCAATCAACATTCATCACAGTAGCACACTCTGAAGGCTGAACAAGGTATCGCCATCCAAACAAACCCCACTCCAAACGCAGTATCATACACAGGCATGCTAAACGAACCGCAGAAAACTACGCGTCTGCGCGTCATACAGATACTACAAGCACTGAGCTTCCTTACTACCATTTTAATCCTACCTACTCACCCTTACTATTACTACTGTTGCTCCACAAGACTACCGCCCTTGCACGCGCATCCACACAACCCGTCCTTGCCTCATACCGAATGTACTAAATATTCTACGTTTCGCACAAACGCAACTAGTGCGCCATAAACGCGGAAAACATAGCTTTAAATGTTTACCATGAAATAAGCAACAGGCTGAAATAACACTAGACCGATGGCATGCATGTCGTTCCATGGGACACGGTAACTCGGCCCATGGTCAAGGTTGTATGGCTCAGTTCATGCTCGTTTTAAAAAGCAGTAAGGGACTTATTTTGATGTAATAACATCCCTATATGCATACAGAGAAACCGAGGATGGAGGGGAGAACGCACGCTAGCTCGAACCGCGCATCGGGCATATGCAAAAAGCGTGTCGCGTAAGCGATGCCACCTGTTGCCATGCTCGTAATGTGTAATTGATTTCAAAGCTTGTAAAATTTGCAAGCAAAGCAAGGTGATGGTGAATAATGGCACGGCAAAAGGGGCCTTTTCAGTCAGGGGTCTAGCTTCCTATTCGTTCGGCCCTGAGCTTGGTCTTAAGCCCCTTTCCCCACAAAGTTGGAATGAGAGTGGGAAAATTTCGGTGAGAAACCTATTTATTGGCATATTTCGGGAGCAGGTTGCGTCATTTCTCACTCCTCAGCCCCCCCCCCCCCCCTTTACCAACTCAATTTGTGGAAGTGCACCCCGAACTTCTTTCGGGTGGCAGTCCAACCACGGGAGAAAATGAGTGTTTTATTGCAGTTTTACAAATGTACAGGGCTGCAGGATGTGACACCGCGACTCCGCTTGCGTTCAAGAATGTCAGACAATTGCACTGTACGTCATGGCTAATTCTGCGTCGAAGATAGCTCTGTTGCCATTACTGCAAGCTCTGCTATTGCCTCTTGACAAGAGGTGGCGCTGGGTTCACGCAAAGGTCGTTCTGTGTTCTTTGTTCCCGCTCGGTCGGGGATCTCGCTTGAGTCATTTTTGTGGAGCCCAATCCATACAAGGCTCGGTCCGAATCGATCGCAGACAGCGTCTACGGCGCACGGGGAGCGCCATGATTTGCCGTCTTCACCACGGTAACGATCTGCCGACCGACCCCACCCAAGTACAATGACTCATTGTGGCGCAACAAGGCTGCTGCGTGAGACGGAGCCGAGCGGTTCATGGAGGACGGCCGGGAACAGTCAAGTATTGAGTGACATCTGGGAATGTCCCGTTAGACGAACCGTGGATCGTTACAGAGCACGCAGTCGGCCACGACCGTCATCGCAGGGGATGTGCGCGCTCTACGCCGCCTGAAGTGTCTCCCGCCAGGTTGTCAGGGGCGACGGGAGCGGCACGTCGATGAAGCTCGTTCAGACGACTGGTCAATCGGGCCGACCGACCGACTGCGCTGAATGCGAGCCCTCGGCGCTTGCTGCCGCAGCATGCGTTCACCCTGGCATGTGGTGTGAAGCTCTGTGATAATCGCCAGCGTTGACGGCTATGTTTGAGGACGTCGACGCCAAGCTGGAATTGTTAAGCTGTGGACCCGTCACACGAGCCAACACCACCACCCAGCGCCCACAAAGCCTGCTGAGGTTGCCTGCGGACCGTGACGCCCGACCCCGCAGCTTCCGGTGCGCCTTATCGTCGACACACATTTGGCCGCGCCAGCTGGCCGGGTCAGGCTCGGCTGACCACTATCTCTCGACCCCTGCGCCTCTGTCAAGCTCGCAACGGGGTATGTATGTCAATTAGTATATTGATATTTCGGACGCCCCACAACTCGGCTGGAAATTTGAGGCTGACAGGGTTCCACTAAGAACAAAACATCCCAAAACGCTGAGATGGAGGTATGGACTGTGTGAGGCATTTCAGATCGAAGTGCGGGGCAGTGGCAGATATCTCATTTTGGGCACAGGCAT